TCTTTGCTTTTCCTCTGTCAGATGGGGTTGCATCCACCTGAGTTCCCCCAGAGTGGTGGGGAAAGGGGAAAATAAGATAATAGATGCCAAACTCGTCAGACCCGGGTAGCCTAGTTAAAATGAAAACTTCATTAAAAATTAAGAATCAGCCAGGCGCGGTGGCTCACGCCTGTAATCCCAGCAGTTTGGGAGGCTGAGGCAGGTGGATCACTTGAGGTTGGGAGTTCAAGATCAGCCTGATCAACATGGAGAAACCCTGTCTCTACTAAAAATACGAAATTAGCTGGGCGTGGTGGCACATGCCTGTAATCCCAGCTACTGGGGAAGCTGAGGTTGGAGAATCACTTGAACCCGGGAAGTGGAGGTTGCAGTGAGCCAAGATTGCACCGTTGCACTCCAGCCTGGGCAACAAGAGTGAAATTCCGTCTCAAAAAAAAAAAAAAAAAAAAGGCCAGGCGCAGTGGCTCACACGTATAATCCCAGCACTTTGGGAGACTGAGGCAGGTGGATCACTTGAGGTCAGGAGTTCAAGACCAGCCTGGCCAACGTGGTGAAACCCCCATCTCTACTAAAAATACAAAAATTAGCCAGGCTGGTGTCAGGCATCTGTAATTCCAGCTACTCAAGAGGCTAAGGCAGGAGAATCGCTTGAACCCGGGAGGTAGAGGTTGCAGTGAGCTGAGATTGCACCACTGCACTCCAGCCTGGGCGACAGAACAAGACTCCGTTAAAAAAAAAAAAAAAAACTGGAGATTCTGCAGTTCTAGGTCTGGAGGAGGACTTAGGACTCAAGGACTCTAAAAAGAGGCACATGTTGAGAATTCCTGGACCGGTAAAGACATTGCCATTCCAAACTGCATGACCTTGGGCAAGTAATGTCACCTCTGTCAGCCTCCCCTGTGAGGTTGGGGTGATATTGACGCCCACTGTGTAAGACGGTTGCCGGTGTCCTCATAGCAGCAAATGCTTAGTGGTGCTTATCATGTTCCTCACACTGCTCTGTTTTACAGATTGAGAAACTGAGGCACAAACGGGTTCGATGGCACAGCTAGTAAGTGGCAGACCTGGGTTCATACTGAGGCAGTTCGGCTCCAGAGTCTCATCTCTTAACCTCTAGACCAGTGGCTCTCAAAGTGTGTTTCAGGGGGACTCCTGGAGGTTTCCAAAGACCCTTTCAGGCCATCCATGAGGTTAGAGTGGTTTTCATCATCATTCTGAGGCATGACTTTCTCTCGTCACCCTCTTTTCTTGCATGAGTATACAGTGCAGTTTTCAGAGGCTGCGTGGCCCGTGATCATGTCGTCATTCAGGAAGCTAATGGAAGGTGTTGTTTGTGTATTCTTGTGTTTTAAAAATTTCTCGGCTGGGTGTGGTGGCTCACACCTGTTATCCCAGCACTTTGGGAGGCCAAGGCAGGAGGATTACTTCAGTACAGGAGTTTGAGACCAGCCTGGGTCAAATAGTGAGACCCCATCTTTACAAAAAATTAAAAAAATAAATTAGCTGGGTGTGTGGTGGCACATGCCTGCTAGTCCCGGTTACTCAGGAGGCTGAGGTGGGAGGACTGCTTGAATCTGGGAGATGTGAGGCCGAAGTGAGCTGAGATCATGCCATTGCACTCTAGCCTGAGCGATAGAGCGAGACCCGGTTTCAAAAATCTTTTCTTCCACTTTTAATTTCTAACATGGTAAATACCGATAACTGTAATCCACATAAACAAAACTCTTTGGCGTCCTTCATAACATTGGGAGCGAAAAGGGTTCCTGAGACCAAAAAGTTTGTGTTGTGTTGTTGGAGGCTGTGTTACCTTATTCAATGTGATACTTGTCGAACATCTGGTGGCACCTCCCATGGTAAGCAGCTGGGCGGGGGAGTTGGTGCCTGTCCCAGGGAATCTCGGCTCTTCTCGGGGCCTTCCCACACGTGAGACCTCCGAGTATGAGACTGAGTCCTGAACCTGCTGGACAGATGGTGGTGCTGACTGTGCTGTGTGTGTGTGGTCGGCCAGCTGCCCGCGACAGAGCTTCCGTCCTCCACTTGGCTGCACCTGTGGTGCTGTGCCCTGACTGCGGAGTGAGCAGATGCTTGGTGGCAGGCCTCCCCTGGGGTGGAGCCGGTGTGGGTGCAGCTGCTGTGGCCCGGCAAGTCCTGTTCCAGGCCTGGCACCGAGCCAGCACTTTGCCTGTGCTATTCCACTGAACCTCGTACCCGCCCTGTGAGGGAGGTGCTGCTGTGAGTCTCATTTTACTGGTGAAGAACTCAAGGCTCAGGGAGGTTCCACCTGTGCGAGGGGCGGGGCCTGGACTCGAGCTGTCCCTGGCTGGCTGGAGCCTGTGCCCCGATGTGTTTCGGTATCTCCTGTTTGTGGCCGGTTCATTTGGGTTTGGATTTGGAGTGTGCTGCCAGTGTTCCTCCCAGAGTTCTGCCCCAGCCCAGGCCAACTGCAGGCTGCTCTTCCACTGCTCCAGTGCCAGCTTTTACTTCTTTTTTTTTTCTTCTTTTTTTTTGAGACTGAGTCTCTCTCAGTTGCCCAGGCTGGAGTGCAGTGGCATGATCTCCGCTCACTGTAACCTCTGCCTCCCGGGTTCAAGTGATTCTCCTGCCTCAGCCTCCTGAGTAACTGGGATTTAGGCACGCGCCACCACGCCAGGCTAATTTTGTATTTTTAGTAGAGACAGGATTTCACCATGTTGGCCAGGCTGGTCGCGAACTCCTGACCTTAGGCGATCTGCCTACCTCGGCCTCCCAAAGTGCTGGGATTACAGGCATAAGCTACTTATTTTCATTATTTTATTTCATTTTACAACTTTTACAATCAGATGCTATATTGCCTAGGCTGGTCTTGAACTCGTGGCCACAAATGAGCCTTCCACCTTGATCTCCCAAAGTGTTGAGATTACAGGTGTGAGCCACCATGTCCGACCTGGCTCTGCGGCTTTTAGACCAAGGGTTTTGGAGCAGTAAGGTGATGTGTGGGCAGAATGCAGGTTTGAATTTTGGCTCTGCCGTTTGCTGGCTGTGACTCTAACCTTTCTGATACCCTGTCTGCATATGACATGGCTGGCTGCTACCTCTCCTTGTTAGGGGAGAACAGCACAGGGAAAACTGACATTGTCCTTGCTCAGAAACCAGGGATCTCCACTGTGATATGACTGGCATGGAGCTGTTATCTTCCCAAAATCTGGCCCTGGACCAACTGTGTCAGTCTCTCCAGGAGGAATTCCGGTTTTCTGGACCCTGCCCTGACCTACTGATGCAGAGTTCTGTGGGAGGGGCCGGCCACCTGTATCCTCAGTGAGCTTTCCCGGCATTCAGGTGCACACTGAAGTTTGGCAATCCCTGCTTAGAGGTTGGGGCCACTTTTAACCCTCAGGACATAGCAAACACTGGTCACGTCCCTGTATGGGTAGCTCTTTATCAGTGGCCATATGATTTGTTGTTTAAACCAGGGCACCCTTGAGCGGGTGGGGGGTCCCCTGAGGAGTGCACTGGGACTTCCTGGTACATGGGAACATGTGTCGTTTCTCAGTCCTCCTTTTATCTTTCTGATGGCCCTAGGAGATGTCATTCCCTTCCTGCTGCAAATGGGGAAACTGAGACCTGGAGAAGGTTGCATCTGACCACACAGCTGTAACCTTGGTCTTTGATTCTAGAGCGCCTTCTCAGCTGGGTTGTCAGCCTTGGCTCACCCTAGCTGAGTCTTGGTGCAGGTGGGCTGTGGAGGACCCTAGATTTCTGTGGTGCTGGAATCTTTTGAAAACTAACATAACCTTTGTAATGAGAAAAACCAACGTGAAAGCTATGGAGCCGGACATGGTGGCGCACACCTGTAATCCCAGCGCTTTGGGAGGCCAAGGCAGGAGAATCGTTTGAGCCCAGTAGTTGGAGACCAGCCTGGGCAAACTAGTGAGACCCTGTCTCTACAAAAAATGTAAAACTTAGCTGGAGGTGGTAACGCATGCCTATAGTGCCAACTATCAGGAGGTTGAGGTGGGAGGATCATCTGAGCCCAGGAAATCAAGGCTGCAGTGAGCCCTGTTTGTGCCATTGCTCTCCAGCCTAGGCAACAGAGCAAGACCATGTCTAAAAAAAAAAAAAAGCTATGGAATGCACCTCTGGAAAAGATACCAGATGAAAATGGAGGACCCTGTCAGCAGAAAGGAAGCAGGTGCTGGGTGTATTTGTGCTTCCTGTCTTCAGTCCCTGGGGTTCCCTCCTGGGCCTGGCTGTGACCCATCTACCACACAGACAATCGATAGCCCTCTAGGCAGAGTGACGGAGAGGGCCGCTGACACCAGCTGTCCGTCAAAGCAGATGTCCTCTTTAGGTCAGTCAATTTCCTTCCTTCCTGATTGCCTGCGAGGCCAAGTGGCTGATTTTTTTTTTTTTCCTGCTCCTATGAGGATGCGCATATGACAGTCCATTTTGGTGACACATGGAGAGGGCTGCAGTTGAGGGGAATTCTGGAGGGAAACCTGAGGTTTCTGGAGCACTAAATGTAACAAGCAGTGACATAGTTGAACCGGTGATGTCGAAGCCAGCAAAGCCCCCATGTGAGGAGCTTGGTGTATTTTTGGTTCAGACAGAAATAGACACCTACCAGAGGACATGATGGCATCAGTGCTTGTAGGCAGCCTTGGGCCAGACTTAGTCTCCGTCCCTGCTGCCTGGCCCTCTCCTCCTGCCTTTTCCTCTCTGCTCCTTGGGGAGCTCCATCTAGCACCCGAGGATTGTGGTTTTGCTTCTGGCTGCAAGTACTTTCACATATCCTGTTGCTCAGGAGAGGGTGGAGGGAGCAGCTCCTTGGTCTCCCTGGGGAGGGGGTGGGCTGAGCCGCAGGAACGTGCTCTCAGAGATCTCTGCCCCTCCTCGAGCCTCCCAGTGGAGTGGTATTATCGCAGGAAAACTCTGGTGTGTTTTTGATCAATCATATGTACAGGCTCGGGGGTCCTTTCCTGTTGGGCTGCCCGTTCGTTACTTTGGTGTCGCTGTGTTCACAGGGAAGGATGGAGACGCTGAAGGATAAGACCCTGCAGGAGCTGGAGGAGTTGCAGAATGACTCGGAGGCGATTGACCAGCTGGCCCTGGAGTCCCCTGAGGTAGAAGGAGGCTGGTATGGGGCCTGACAGAGGCCAGCAGATGAGGCTTGTTAAGAGGCACTTGTGAAGGATGCTGGCTTATTGGAAGTTTTGGCCAAATTCATCCCCCTTTTCTGTGAACTTCATCCTGGTTTGGACTCAGAGGAATCCCTGAGGCTTCAGACCAGTTCCTGGGAGTTCTTGGCAGTGCTGGGGAGTCCACGCCTCCTGGTGCCTTCCCAGGACCCGGATGCCCCAGGAGTCCCCACACTGTCGTTCCAGCCCAGATCTGGAGGCAGCTCCTCAAAGCACTGGCATGGTTTTGTACCCACTTTTCCCCAAGAGCCTTGTGCGATCCCATGTCTCCAGGTGACTCTAAGGCTTCTAGGAGCCATTCTCGGGCTGAGATCTGGCTCATCTCCCATTGGATCCTGTTTCTCCTCGTAACTCCTCCCTAATCCTCTCGCTCTTAATCACAGAGTCCCTGTGGAAACAAACAGAATCCTGCCTGTGCAGACATTTACACTTAATGAAAGATGTTCCCTGCCCCTAGTGTCTCCTGTGACCCTGGGATGTCCCCTGCGAGATGGGAGAGGTCAGGCCACACAGCCAGAAATACCCACGGTCACACATTGAGTGACTGCAGCTCATCCGTTGTTCTGGAAGCTCCCACTTCCTGTCCCTAATGTGAGGGAGAGACACGAATGCAAGTCATGCCAGCTCATTTGATTTGTATTTGGAGTACATGTTTGCTTGCACGGATGGGCAGGTACGGTGCATCTCTTCTGTGAACATGTAGTATTTTGAAAGAAATAATGACGCTCCCCCATCCAGTGTCTCTGCGCTTCCATGCCATGGCGGGGCACGAGGCCAGTGAGTCCCCTGCTCCTGTTCTGGCTTGCACTCTTGCCGCCTGCTGCCTGCTCTGCTTCCTAAGTGAGGAATCTTCACTGGGATGGAGGTGACTGAGCATTGGGTTGAAAAGACCTCCTGGTGGGCAGATTGTGAGGAGAGGTGGACACCATGGGGCACATCCTGCCACCCTAGGGCTTTTTCAGTCCTCAGCAAGGATGTGGAGCAAAGCTTGCTTGTCGAAGCCCCAGGGCCGACTCAAATGGCCTGTGAGGCTGTGAGCTCTGCCAGGGCATTGCTCCTGCCTGGCCTGGTGCTAGGCACAGTGCGACTCTGCCTGCATTCCTTTGTCACATATGAAGCACTGTGAGCGTGGTGCCTTGGGAAGCCCAAGGCCTGCCTCTAGAGTGTGCAGAGCTGAGCAGGCAGACAGAATCGTGACAAAGCAGGGAATCATGGGAAATGTGAGCAGAAGCGACCTCTTGGGCAGAAGGCATTTGAATTTTGTGGTGTGCAGCCACACCTGTCCCATCGATCTGAACTCTCTGAGGGAAAAAAACACTCGTGGATCAGGTGGAAATGAAGCAGGACAAGCCACTTAGACTTCAGACCACTGGCAAACTTTTTTATCGTGGGCTGTAAGACAGTAATTGAGTCATGTGGGTTTGTGAGAAGAGACAGGAGCTCTCTCTTAGTTTGGGGCATGGACGCGGCTTGGAGAGAAGGGAGGTGGCAGGGGCTCTCCATGTAGAAGAGTGTGCATGGAGGGGTGTGTGGAGGGGAGCTGTTTTGAGGTGGGGACCAGATGTAGAAAGGAAACACTGTAGCTTAGTAAGGATAGTTAGTCAGAATGGTTTTATCTCCCACTTTGCAATTTTTTAAAATTTTTATTTTTTTAGGCAGGGTCTTACTTTGTTGCCCAGGCTGGAGTGCAGTGGCACCATCATGGCTCACGGCAGCCTCGATCTCCTGAACTCAAACAGCCCTCCCACCTCAGCCTCCCAAGTAGCTGGGACTACGAGTGCACACCACCACACCTGGCTAATTTTTAAATTTTGCATAGCAACTTTTAAGAACTTAGATACTTCTTGTGGAGTTTTGCTGTAGATTCAAAGAAAATTGATAATTATCTATAAAGGTTAGTAGCGACTCCTTCCTTTTCTAGCTATATATCTGTATGAGTATAGATTCTTCCTGCTTATTTCCACCAAAGTAATATACTAGGACAGATTGAATTCAGAAGCAGCAAAACATGTGAAAACAGCTTTTATTTACCTATTTTTAGTCTTACCTCTTTTCAGTGACTGGGAGGACTTCACACCGAACCTCTAATATGCATCGATATGCAATTTTTAAGATTGATGCATATTTTGCATATTTATGGGGTAGATCCGAGTCTTTGTTGCATGCATAGAATGTGTGATGATCAGGCTGGGCTCGGTGGCTCACGCCTGTAATCCCAGCACTTTGGGAGGCTGAGGTGGGTGGATCACCTGAGGTCAGGAGTTCGAGAGCAGCCTAGCCAACACGGTGAAACCCCATCTCTACTAAAAATACAGAAATTAGCTGGGCATGGTGGCACATGCCTGTAGTCCCAGCTACAAGGAAGGCTGAGGCAGGAGAATCGCTTGAACCCAGGAGGCAGAGGTTGCAGTGAGCCGAGATTGTGCCATTGTACTCCAGCCTGGGCAACAGAGCGAAGCTCTGTCCAAAAAAAAAAAAAAGAATGTGTAATCATAAGGTCAGGGCATTTGGGGTCTCCATCACGTTGAGTATTTGTGGTTTCTGTGTGTTGGGAACATTTTATGCTTCTTGCTACTTTGAAATATACTATACATTGTTGCTGACCATAGTTACCCTACTCTCCTGTTGAACATTAGAACTTATTTCTTCTAACTGTATGTTTCTACCCATTGACCCACTTCATGGAGAAAGATGTCAGAAGGCTGTGGGAACCGGGAGCAGAAATAAGTAGGGCAAGATTTAGGGGAAAATGATACAGCGTAGATTTGTTGGTTTAGACGCAACGAAAAGGCAGTGGACGTATAGGAAGGCCAGAGGATCCATGGGGCCCTGCAAGAGATGGGTGAGCAGGAGGGCTTTAGGCCTTTCACTCTGGGTCAGCCATGTAAATAAAGTTTCCATGGCTAATAAAAATTAGATTGAGAGTCACGTATGGTGGTTACTGCCTGTAATCCCAGCTATTGGAATGATGAGATGGGAGGATTGCTTGAGGCCAGCCTGGGCAACATAGGGAAACGCCATCTCTACAGAAAATGAAAGAACTTAGGTGTGGTGGTACGTGCCTGTAGTCCCAGCTACTGGAAGGGCTGAGGCTGAAAGGTTGCTTGAGCTCAGGAGTTCGAGGCTGCAGTGACCTATGGTCATGCCACTGCACTCCAGACGACAGAATGAGACCATGTCTCTAGAAGGCAGCAGCGTGGGCTCTAGGCTGGATAGACCCCTGGGCCCTACAATCCCTGAACCATGGCAGCTTCGTCTGGGGGGCTCAGGAAGGGCAGGGAGCTGTGGCATTCCTCTTTCCAATCTGGAGCACAAAGAAGAGGCTATGGGCCTGCCCCAGAGTGCAGGGCCTAGGCCCCTGTAGCTGGGACAGCAGGAGGGGCAGCCTTTCCCTGAAGCCTCCTCTTTCAGAATGCCCATGGGCTTCCTATGTCTGGTGGGGCATGAGTCAGTCCGGCTTGGTCTGTCACACGCTGACGATGGTGGAGAAGCTGCACAGTGAGGGCCTGACTCAGAGTCGGTCTTGCTGAGCTGTTCCCTGCACCCTGTGGCAGGTGCCGAGGCCTGTCTTCTGGTGCCCCATGCTGCTGTCAGTGTACTGTCACCGCTGGCTCAGCGTGCGGGTCTGGCTCCTCAGCCCTCCTCTCAGGAGAGGACTCTTTGGTGGATTCATGGGGCATGAGATCACAGCAGCTGGGAAGGGTGCCTTGGCTTCTGCCTCACTGGCTGGCAGTGACGAAGAGCTGGCAGAGGAATAGTGTGCCACTTGGCTTGGGGAAGTGTTTGCAGCAGGGAATGTCCAGGGTGGCCCCTCTGGCTCATCTGTGCAGCTTCTCTGCAGGACACACGTGCCGCGTAGGAGGCAGGTCCAGGTCTCTCCTAAGTCAGTGGCATGGTCTGGTCCAGGGCCCTGGCGCTCTCACCCCTCACAATAACTTTGGGGCCTCATTGCATGTCTTGCCTGTGCATCTGGTCAGGGCCACCTGAGTCCACCATGGTAGGTCTCTTCACTCTGAAGCTTGGGGATAAGTAATTGGGACTTTTGGTCCCTTCCCAGAAAGCCTCTGATTTTCTCATGTAAATTGGTCCAGCCCCTCCTTGGGGCTCTGCACACTCCATCGGGGATATCAGTCACGTGGCCTTGGGCGAGCTCTTCACCTTTAGCTCCAGGTTCCCATGCGTCTCCACCTCGTGGCTGTGGGTTAAAAGATTAAGTGAGGTGCAGAGTACTTCGTTCAGGGTTTGAACCTGGCTTTGTCTGACTAGTTGAGGGCTGAGTATCGCCCGCGGATGAGCCTCTCCACCCCAAGGTGAGGATGTGCCCCGAGGGCTCTGACCCAGGCTGCCGGGAGGTTCAGGGTGATGGACGTTTTCCTTAGGTTCTGTTGTCCTGTCCTTTTAGGTCCAGGACCTGCAGCTGGAACGGGAGATGGCACTGGCCACCAACCGGAGCCTGGCGGAGCAGAACTTGGAGTTCCAGGGCCCCCTGGAGATCAGCCGCTCAAACCTCTCAGATAAATACCAGGAGCTCCGGAAGCTTGTGGAGCGGTGCCAGGAGCAGAAGGCAAAGCTGGGTAGGGTGGCTCCTCTGTGAACTCAGGGTCCCCATTCAGGGTTGGATGGGGCTGAGCAGCTGGAACAGCATGAAGGATGGATTCCCTGTCCCCTGCCCAGGATGGGCAAGGCCCATAGCTACTGAGGCCCACCGTGTTCCCAGCCCTGTGCTAAGTGCTTTATGTACAGGTTTTGACAACAGCCGTAGAAGGGTGGGTACTGTTGTTACTCCATTTTATAGGTAAGAAAAATGAGGCTCAGAGAGATTCAAGAACTTGGCTACGGTCACCCAGCTTAGAAACAGGGGAGATGGGATTTGAATCCAGACAGCCTGCATCCTTTGCTGCCGCTGTTACCCCTGGCAGCTCGGCTTCTGTGCTTTGCTGAGCTGCTCCTGAGCTGCTCTGGGCTCTTTGTGTCCCAGGACCTGTCACGTTTGAAGGTGGGAGGGCTGTCGTCCTGATGGTGAGACAGCTTCACGCTCAGGTTAGGTGACTCCCCTGGCTGGCAGGCAGAACCGGGTCGGTCGGGCTCTGAAGCCCGAGTCGTTTCCCTTCCCAGGATGGTGCAGGGGAGGCTTGGCCAAGGTCGAGGCTGGGTTCAGTCGGGCCCTTCTCTGCTCAGGAAAGTAGTCTAAGGAACTGGACCAAAAGTGCCCATCAAGCCCACCCGAAAGGACCCTTTGGTGGACCCTGGGGTGGTGGCTGGGCCTGGATGCACACAGAGGGCATGCTAAATGCCTTTAACACCGAATCAGGAAGCACTTTTCAAATGCCAGTCGTTCTGCCCTTCCTCCTCCCTTCCAGAGAAATTTTCTTCAGCACTGCAGCCAGGGACCTTGTTAGACCTTCTGCAGGTGGAAGGCATGAAGATTGAAGAAGAGTCCGAGGTGAGAGGGCGAGGCGACACCCCCCTTCCCTCGCCGGGGTGTCAGTCCCTGCAGCAGGGGCCCTTGGAAGGAGGAGCAGATGTCTGCAAAGCATGGGACAAAGGAGCTTTCGTAGATGGCAGAGGTGAAGGACATCTTTAGTCCTGGGGAGGCCTTTTGGGTACAAATAACAGGAACTCAGTCCCCCTCGCTGAAGCAGAAACGAGTGATAGTGGACAAGGGCAGCTTGCAGCCCTGGATGAGAGGGCAGCACAGCAGGAGGCCCCCAGGGGCTGAGGCCAGCCCCCCACTCTGCTCTCCTTACTTCCCGCTTCCGTCCGGGCCACCTCTTCAGCCTCTGTGGGCAAACTGGTGCTGTCCACTTTGGGTGGAAGAAGCTTCCAGGCCCTGCCAGTCCCTGGGCTAGTGCTCGGCCAGGTGTTCAGTACATACATGCAGTGGCCACTGTGGGCCTGGCCTGATGCCAGGGTGCCAGGACAGAGGTGACCATGACAGAGGCAGTTCTCGCCCTCGAGGGACTGACGTTCTAGTGAGGGAGACAGTGCATGTACCATCTGTCAGCTGTGAGAAGGGGCATACGGCCAGGGAGGAGGAGGGGGTGCCCGAGGCAGCGCGAGGTGGGAGGGCTGTAGCTGAATTTGGACCCTGGGGAAAAACAAGAGACCTTGATCCCAGCCGGCCCCTGTTGTCACTGGACCTTGTGTCTTCCAGGCCATGGCTGAGAAGTTCCTGGAGGGCGAGGTGCCCCTGGAAACGTTCCTGGAGAATTTTTCCTCCATGAGGATGCTGTCCCACCTGCGCCGGGTTCGCGTGGAAAAGCTCCAGGAAGTGGTGAGGAAGCCCAGGGCTTCCCAGGAGCTGGCCGGCGATGCCCCCCCACCCCGCCCGCCACCCCCGGCGCGCCCAGTCCCCCAGGCAACGCCGCCTGTGGTTGAAGAGCAGCCGCAGCCACCATCAGCCATGCCTCCCTACCCTTTGCCCTACAGCCCGTCCCCCAGCCTGCCTGTGGGCCCCACTGCCCATGGAGCCCTGCCACCGGCCCCTTTCCCGGTGGTGTCCCAGCCCTCCTTCTACAGCGGGCCTCTGGGCCCCACTTACCCGGCAGCCCAGCCTGGACCCAGGGGTGCCGTGGGTTACTCCTGGTCCCCACAGAGGAGCACGCCACCCCGGTCGGGCTATCCTGGGACCCCGACTGGCACCTCTGGGCCTGGGTACCCCTTGGCGGGAGGCAGGGCCCCCAGTCCTGGTTATCCTCAACAGTCTCCATACCCTGCAACAGGAGGAAAACCTCCCTACCCAATACAGCCCCAGCTCCCCAGCTTCCCAGGCCAGCCCCAGCCCTCATTGCCCCCGCAGCCCCCTTATCCCCCCGGGCCCGCCCCTCCCTATGGGTTTCCACCGCCCCCGGGGCCTGCCTGGCCTGGGTATTAGCCGTACTCCTGGCCCTCGGCCCCTCCCGAGTCCCACCCACGCTCAACCTTTGGCCCAGCCATCGCCGAGATTCGAGGGTCAACTGGAGGTGGCGTTGGTGCTCCCTGTGGACTTGCGTTGGCACCCAGAGGCCTTGGAGGGACAAGGCACTGGGCAGTGTGACTGGTCACGGCACTTGCCCTCTGGCCGGAGGTCCTCCTAGAAGCCCCTACTTTCAGTGCCTGGCTGCAGCGGTGCTAGCCAGGCTGGCATCCGGCACCTCTCGCCGGTGTCTGTGTGAGTGAGCGTGTGCGCACATTTATGAGCATCTACTTGCGGCTGCACTCAGGGCCATCTGAACCCAGTGCAGAGTTATCTCGATGAGGAGGCCCCGGGTCTCCAGCCCCTCCGGCTCCTCTGGGGTTTGGCGTATTTGACGTGGAGCCCCATGCCAAGGGATGCAGCTGTTGGTGTCTGTCCAGTCCATTCAAGGCTAGCCTGCCCACGCACTGTGGCAGGGGTTGGATTGGAGGGAGAGAACAGAGTTGGGAAAAACAACAGGTTTGAGTCCTATAAAGCCATAATTTAACTCCAGTACCTGATGTCAGACAAGCTTGTCCTGTGTCCTGTTTGAGTGGTGGCAGCGCCAGCGCAGCAAGAAGGCTGGGGGTCGTGAAGATTGTCCCCAGACCTTGCTTGCACTATTTGGAGAACCCAGGGGGCTGCCTTGGGCCCTCTGGCCAGAGGGAAGGGAGCAGCTCTAGCCCTGGAGATTGTGGTCACATTGGGGCTCGTTTAGGAGTGGAGGGCCAGGTCACCTCCCCAGCCACCCTTCTCTCCTCTGGGACCCCCCACTTTAGGGTGACTTTGCCCGAGGCCTATGCATCCATCCACTCCTTTAGTGCCTTGAATCTCATTCACAAGCAGCCCCCTCCCTTTCCCTCCCCTGCCCCTGACTCCTTTGATGTAATCCTCCCACCCCCAGTGTCCATCCTAAGGCATCAAAAGAGGCCCTAACGTAACTTCCCAAATGGTGCTTTTTAAAAAACACCATCACTACATAGGGGCAGTTTTTTCGCACCTCCCTGTCTTCAGAATGTAAAGGGTGGGGATTATGGCTCTGTGTAATATGCAGCCCCCTGCACTGTGGGGTTTGGGGCATGTTCAGTAATCAGAATGAAGACAATAGACAAAGGGGTGTGATGAGTGTTAACTTGGTTGTTCCAGAGGTAAACCAGGTCTCAGGGAAGAGCCTGGAGCTGCTATTGCTTAGGAAGTTGTACGTGCCTTGAAATGTCCACTACCTGAGGACCCAGCGTCTGGTGGGCCCGGGGCTGCTGGGGCCAAGGAGGGACCTTGACCTTCTGGTGCCTGCCCCTCCCCGGCCTACGTGCCATCTGCGTGACGCTCGGTCAGCGGTGCCGGTTCTTTACCAAATGTGCTTGCTTCTCCTAAGTTATTTATAAAGAGAAATCACTAATGGACTCTACTGGTTTGAGTGCTTCTGAGCTGGATGACCGACCGCCTGTATGTTTGTGTAATTAATTGCCATAATAAACTTTGATGAGTCACATGTGGTGTGGTGTTGGTGGGTTTGAGTGAAGACGTGGCTGCATGTGGGTGCCTTGATTTCTTCTGCGGCCTTCAGATCGTGCTCTGTGGAGGGGCCTCTGTGATTCACGCCCCAAAGCCCCATCCGTCTGGATGTCAGCCCTCCCCTGCCTGCTCACCCCAGGGCTGGCCCTGGGAGCATTTACCTTCCCTCTCTCGCTCTTCCACTTTCCTTCTTAGCGGTTTTCCTGTTGGAGCCTGAGTTTTGCCTTGTCCTGGACCGAGAGCAATGGCGTGCAAGGCCACAGGATGCCATGAGGGGGCGTCTGGTCCTCAGCCCGCTCGGGAGGTGCCGTGATCCTGCCACCTGCCGGACTGGCGGGACGTCGGCATGTCAGCCTGTCTGAGAACCCATCTAATTCTAACCTGGGCTTGCAGGATGTGCTCAGAGGGACAGCAGGCCGCTAAACTGGCTGCGGCACCAACGGTCTTCTAGGCCTTGGCCCAGCCTGCCTCCGTCCCTAGTGTCGCCCTGAGGTCTGCTGCTGAGCTGCCTATCCCGCGGCTGGGGAGGGTGTCTTCAGCTCAGCAGGACGGGCAGCTTTGAGGGAATCCTTAGACCGGACTTCTAACAGTCCCTCACGTCAGGTCTCCGTCTCTCCTTCCCTGCAAGGTGACGGGTGGCTGCCTGCGGAGGATGCCTAGAGATGCCCTGAATCGCTAGTGTTAAATACTCAGCAGGGCTGCAGGCTGTGCTGTGCTTTCAGGCGCATTATCTCCTGGAGTCTTAGCAACAGCCCTTTCATCCCCAGTTTAAATGGGAGGAAACCACAGGGCGGGAGGTTCGGTGAGCATGTTGCACAACCTTGGGAGGAGGTGGGACTTGGACTGGGTCGGTTGGATTTCAGAGGCTGCAGGGGCTCCTCCCCACTGCCTTGGTGGTGCCAGAAGTGCCTCCCAAGGACAGAGCTGAGAGTCGCTGGGCTCCGGTCAAATGTTTACTGCCCTTCACCCCCAGCTGAACTCTGGCCTGGCCTTGCAGGTGTCCAAGGCTGAGGACACAGGACATCAGGGACAGCTAGAAGCAATTTGGCTTTGTAGGAAGAGGCTGCAAATCTCCCTCTAGGCACATAGGTCACTTGCCTTGGGTTGGTGCCAGAGTGGTGGCAGGGGGCACGGAGGGGCCGACTTTCTAAGAAAGGACTGTCATGAGCTGCCTCAGCTGGTCAGCCCACGTGTCCCGCCCTGTGCTTTTTGCCTCCTGCTCTCCCTGGCCACCTCACCTCAGAGGGCAGCACACACACGCGCTCCTCGCGCCTCCCTCCCTGCATCCCTGGGAGATCACTGGCTGCCTTTCACCAGACTACCGTGGGCCTCCCGCTGCAGGGGGACAGACCCTAAGCATCAAATTTAGAGTCTCTAGATTCCTAGCTTAGGACACTGCTCTGCTGGATGTGGTGAGGCCATATGAATGTCACGTCCTTACAGCTCTCCTCCGTACTCCCAGGTCCCTGGGTGCATGATAACTTTTTTTTTTTCTTTTTGAGAGAATCTCACTCATCTGACTCCCAGGCTGGCGTATATTGGCGCCATCTTGGCTCACTGCAACCTCCACCTCCCAGGTTCAAGCGATTCTCCTGCCTCAGCCTCTTGAGTAGCTGGGATTACAGGTGTGTGCCACCATGCCTGGCTAATTATTTGTATATTAAAAAAAAAAAAAGCCTGTTGCCCAGGCTGGAGTGCAATGGCAAGATCATGGTTCACTGCAGCCTCACTCCTGGCCTCAGGTGATCCTCCTGCACCAGCCTCCTGAATAACGGATTACAGGCATGTGCCACCATGCTCAGTGAATTGAAAACTTTCTTTTTGGGAGAGATGGGTTCTCACTTTGTTGCCTAGGCTGGTCTGGAACTCCTGGCTTTAAGCAATCCTTCTACATTGGCCTCCCAAAGTGCTGGGATTACAGGCATGAGCCACCATGTCCGGCCACGTGACAATGTGAAAGCTAGACTTATTGCTTGGTCCTTGGTATCCTTGACCTAATGTGCTAGAATCAGGGGATGCACGCCCAAACACTCATTGGCCAGGTCACATGATTTAGCCAGGAACATAATTTAGGGAATGGGCAGGGTTTGAGAGACACACAGGTGAATGGAAGGGGTGGCCCTGCTCTAGCAGGTTGCTGGGATGCAGGAATGGGAAGGTTGTCCAGGTCACGGAAGTGCGTCCTCCACAGCCAGGGGAAATGGACACCAGCCTCCTGAGCACTGGCTGGGGAAGCAGTGGGTTGCCTTTACTAGCCAAGGCAGGAACTCAACAGCGACACCTTGAAGACTAAAATGCTTCTATTCCATCGCATTACCTAACATCTTTTTGAAATGCATCACCCAAGTCACCCACCCCTTGAAAAACAGTTTTCTAAAGACTAATTTCTCCTCAACTAAACTCTTTATTTTTGGTTTGGTTTTTAAGTAGGCCATGGTTGCTTTGAGGCCACTGTATGGTGGCCAAACTATAGATGAAAGAGCTTTTATTAAAAAAGGCACTGATGGGAGACACTGCCTGCCCCAGATCCTTTGCCCTCCCTAAGAGCAGCCTCTCAGTTCCCTTTTGAGGAGCCCCCTCACCTCCACCAGATGTGGGAAGAGAAATGGGGTCCCTGTTTCTGGATTTCCAGCATGGTCAGGGGAAGATCTATGACCTGGGCTTGGCCATGGGGGCTCTCAGAAGGCAAGGCCTGGTTGGAAGGTGGTGGTGGTGGTGGGTAGAAAGCTGAGCAGATTCTGGGATTACCCCACCTCATGTCCTAGTAACTTCCCTTTGCTCTTCCAGACTTAGATTCTGTGGCTTGGACCATTGATGCCTATGCTCTCAGAAGATACAGCATCAAATGGTGTGGAGAAAGGCCCCGTCCTCAAGATGTGTTCCCACATTGCTTCACCTTCTTAGGGAGCCGCCACAGTGAGCTCCGCATGGCCTCTCCCTTGATCAGACCCGTGGCTCCTGGGTGGACCTCCCCTTCTCACTTGTAGTTAAGGAAGCCGAGGTCCCACTGGATTAGGTGTATGTCCAAGATCTCCAAGTACTAGAGGAGTCTGTTTTAGTCAAGGGAGTTATTTAAACCAAAGGGAATATGACCAGCCTCATCTCTGACTCTTGGGTTAGAAGATGAACTGTGATGGACTGATGCTACCTCAGCTTGGGACGATTAATTGCTGGGTGAAGCAAAAAACCAAGTTGGTTAAGGTTTACTAGGCATCCCTTCGCGCAGGGCCCTGGCTGGCACTCGTGCCCTGTGGGCTTGACAGCTGGTGGTCCCTGCTCTCTGGGGAGGAAGGTGTCTTTGGATGAGGGGGTTGGGGAGGGGAGTCGCAAGACAGAGGGAGTGGGGTGAGGCTGTGGGTCAGCGGTCACCCTGGCTGGCAGCTGCGGTGAATGCGCTGAGCTGTCTTTGTGCTCAGGTGAGCAGCCTCTGACCACCACGGCTGCAGAGGTCCCTGGGAGTCCTCTTCTTGTGCCTCCCCTGAGGGATCCGCAGGGGTGGAGGCTGCACAGAAGAGGCCGGAGCGCTTGAGTTGTCAGGAAGGAGGAAAAGCACTACTTACAAAGAACTATTCAAAATGCACTCGCCCAGCTGTGAGCTTCCTTGTCACTGCTTACCAGGGACAGAGTCTGAGAAGAAAGCCGATTTCACTCAGGTGCCGCTCCCCAGCGGGCAGGGAAAGGGGGCTCCCTTTGGACACCCCCGGGTCTCTAGTTGGAAGGCTGCTTGTTTTGGGGCTCTGCCCGCCACAGCTTCCGCGCGTGGAGGGGCGGCCGAGCTATCATGCAGCAGTGTAAGCTGGCCTGCCACTCGGAGCAGCAGCGCCTGTCTGGAAGGCTCCTGGCCTCTGTCCATGTTCTGGCCGGGGTAGAAATAGGGACATCATTTCAAGTGAAGAGCGGACAGTTTTCTCAGGACAAGCAGGTCTGGCTCTTGGCATTTTGCTCCTGGGTCCCAGTTCTGTGGGGTGAGAAGGAAACGTGTTAGAGGAAGACACTGCAGAGGTGATGCAGGGAGGTGGGGGACAGGACCCATGCTTTGGGCTCCATCTTGGGGATGGCTGCTGTCCTGAGCCGGGGGCTCCTTCTCCCCGCTAGCAGGTTGGCAGCTCTGGAGGGGTGTGGTTCCATCACGGAGCTCGTAGGGACTCTGCCTGTGTGGCCTTCCGCATGGAGGTAAGAGTTGATTGTTAAGGTCCATGATTCCTCTGCTCTAGCTGTCAGACCAGCTCGTATAACCTAAACAGCTGACATTTGTCTTTCCCTTTACAAGAATCAAGATGCTGGGGGTCCCCGGGCCGGGCGCGGTGGCTCAAGCCTCTAATCCCAGCACTTTGGGAGGCCGAGACGGGTGGATCACGAGGTCAGGAGATCAAGACCATCCTGGCTAACCCGGTGAAACCCCGTCTCTACTAAAAAATACAAAAAAAAACCGGCCAGGCGAGGTGGCGGGTGCCTGTAGTCCCAGCTACTCGGGAGGCTGAGGCAGGAGAATGGCGTGAACCCAGGAGGCGGAGCTTGCAGTGAGCTGAGATCCAGCCACTGCACTCCAGCCTGGGTGACAGAGCGAGACTCTGTCTCAAAAAAAAAAAAAAAAAAAAAGATGCTGGGGGTCCCCTATTCATGTATGGGCAGGGTGGGACTGAGGGGAGGCACTGAGTGGCTGCTGCTCACCCCCAGAACTGTGGGGGACCCCGGGGTGCTGGGGTCAGGCTGGAGACAGGCTCACCGTTACAGCCGCTGAGCCCCGTGCAGGTCGTAGTCACTGTCGGAGGAGTTGTCAGGCTGTGTGGACGAGCGATGCAGGGCCCCTTCCAGAGCTGGGGAAAGAAAGGACGCTGTTTGCAGAGGGTTTGTGACTCCACAGAGCCCCTTGGGTCCTAGAGCCACTGCCCACAGCGGGTTGGAAGATCACAGCGGCTTTATGAGCCGGTGACACCCCGGTATCTGTTTTGATCAAATCAGCCAAACGTTCACTAA